TCTAAAATTTTAAAGTTTCATATTTTAAGTCTATGTTTCATTTTGAGCTAATTTTAGTATAACAGAGCTTGCTTTTTTATGCCTATGGCTGCATTTCAAAAGCCTAGAATTGATTATTAAACAGGTATTGGATCATATGCTTTGATGGGGTTAGTAATAAGATCTTGGTAGGCTGTAGTATGAGAAACAGTGAAAGTTCCTCTGTAGGCCCCTATGATGACAAGGGGAGCAGCAGGAACTGACAGAAAACTAAAATTGAAAGTCAGACTTCTACAGGCAGAATTAGCTAGATAATTCATGATAAAAAAACACATGATTTTAAAGGTAGTGACCAGATAATAAGACTGAAAAAAATTTTTTATTTTGCCTAAATTGTCTAGACACTTTATCAATTTTTTTAATTCATTTTGAGCTATGGTGACCTAAGCAGCAATGAATACCTAAAAAATGACTAAAAACCAAACCACAAGGATTAACCACAAAACAGATCTCTTAGCTTGCACCTGGTTTTACCCTCTAACAAACACGCCAGTGGTCTGCATGGCCATTTTTGGGGTATGTTTGGCTTAAGGTCAGTAAACTAAGGCCCATAATCTAAACACGGCCTGCTGCCTATTTTTGTAAAGTCTTATTAGAATATAGCCATGCCAGCTGGGCACAGTGGCTCATGCCTATAATCTTAGCACTCTGGGAGGCTGAGGCAGGCAGATCACTTGAGCTCTGGAGTTTGAGACCAGCCTGGGCAACATGGCAGAACCCTGTGTATTAGTCTGTTTTTACAGTGCTGATAAAGACATACCTGAGACTGGGAAGAAAAGTTTAATTGGACTTAGAGTTCCACATGGCTGGGGGGCCTCACAATCATGGTGGGAGGTGAAAGGCATTTCTTACATGGTGGCAGCAAGAGAAAAAAATGAGGAAGCAAAAGTGGAAACTCCTGATAAACCCATCAGATCTCCTGGACTTATTCACTATCATGAGAGCAGCATGGGAAAGACTGGCCCCCATGATTCAATTATCCCCCTGGGTCCCTCCCACAACATTTGGGAATTCTGGGACATACAATTCAAGTTGAGATTTGAGTGGGGACACAGCCAAACCATATCACCTACTTCTACAAAAAATACAAAAATATTAGCTGGGTGTGGTGGTGCATGCCTGTAGTCCCAGCTACTTGCAGGGCTGAGGTGGGAGGAGGCTGAGGTTGAGGCTGCAGTGAGCCGAGATCACGCCACTGTACTCCAGCCTGGGTGACAGAGCAAGACCTTCTCTCAAAAAACAAAACAAAACAAAACAAAACAAGAATACAGTCATGCCCATTCATTGAGTTACAGTCTATGTCTCCTTTTGCACTACAATGACAGAGTTTAGCTGTGACAAGAAGTCTACGGTACTTACTATCTGGCCCTTTACAGAAAATGTTTCTTGACCGTTGTTCTTGGCTCACAAATGCTGAGACAACATGTGAAAAGCACCATTATAGAAAATATTTCTAAGGTATAACTATCAATGTTATTGTTTTTTTTTTTGAGACAAGTTCTCACTCCTATCACCCAGGCTGAAATGTAGTGGTGTGATCATGGCTCACTGCAGCCTCCACCTCCCAGGCTCAGGTGATCCTCCCACCTCAGCCTCCTGAGTAGCTGGGACTACAGGTGCGCACCACCACACTAGGCTGATTTTTGTAGTTTTTGTAGAGACAGGGTTTTGTCACCATGTCGCCTCCCTTCCCCTGCCCTCCCCGTGTCCCCTGTGAGTGGTGCTGGCACTCCAACTCCTGGGCTCAAGCAATCTGCCTCCCTCTGCCTCCCAAAGTGCTGGGATTACAGGCATGAGCCATTCTGCCAGTCAGTCAGCTCTTTGAAACAAAATAACGTAAAGGCAGCTGTATCCACACACATCACATTTATAAGAAATCTATCTTGAGGTGTAAATGGCTTTTCTTCTGAAGCCGAAATTCCTACTCACACAACTCTGAGCATTGCCCCTGAGTCTGGGGTCAGATTTGTGTTCCCAGAGCATCAAAGGTGTTCGTAAGCAAGTGCACATGTCATTTGGTAACAGACATCCAACAGAGTTGAGAAAGCTTTATATATAAAGTATATTTTATCAATTCTTGATAAGAATCTTCAGCAAAATGACCTATGACCATTTTATGACTGTTGTTCAAAGAACTGAATGTGATGTGACTTAGAAAAGTACTAACACTCATTTCAAATTTACCCCTTGGCCTCAGCAGGATACCAGCCAGAACTCAGCCATGTGTGGTGCCAAGTGGAGTTGAAAACTGCACAGTGTCTTCTTGTTCCAGCCCTTGAGGTTGCTAAGGTCAAGGGGTGGGCATGGGAACATGCCAGTCATAAGGTGATTCTCCATCAGCTCTACACCTCCCCTTCTATACTCTGCTATGTGGTGCCAGGTCTCAGCAGACCTCATTTCTGCTTTTCCAGCTGGCTTCTGGAAGGTTATGCCCATAGGGTCCGTGAGGGGAACACCAGAAGGCAGGAGGAGGGAGAAGGGACTGGCTCCTGCCTGCTGGCTGTTTCTTTCAGCAGTGCCACAGCAATGACTCTTCATCACTCTGACAAAATCAGCTGGCTCCAGTCTCCAGCATTTTTTTTTTTTTTTGAGACAGAGTTTCACTCTGTTGCCCAGGCTGCAGTGCAGTGGTGTGCTTGGCTCACTACAACCTCCACCTCCCGGGTTCAAGAAATTCTCATGCCTCAGCCTCCTGAGTACATACAGGAGTATGGCAACATGCCCACTAATTTTTGTATTTTTAGTGGAGACTAGGTTTCACCATGTTGTCCAGGCTGGTCTCGAACTCCTGACCTCAAGTGATCCACCCACTTCAACCTCCCAAAGTGCTGGGATTACAGCACAAATCTGACCCCAGACTCAGGGGCAATGCTCAGAGTTGTGTGAGTAGGCATTTCGGCTTCAAAAGAAGGGCTGGGCAACATGGTGAGAATCCCTCTCTACAAAAAATGCAAAAATTAGCTGGGCATGGTGGCATATATCTGTGGTCCCAGCTACTTGGGAGAGAGGCTGAGGTGGGAGGATACCTGGAACCTGGGAGGTGGAGGTTGCAGTGAGCTGAGATTGTGCCACTGCACTCCAGCCTGGGCAAAAGAGCGAGACCCTGTCTGAAATTTAAATAATAATAATAATTTATTACGTATTTTCAAGTAGCTAAATGAAAGGATTTTGAATGTTCTCAACACAAAGTAATAATAAATGTTTGAGGTGATGAATATGCTAATTATCCTGTTTTGATCACTACACATTGTATATATCCAAATATCACTATGTACCCCCATAAGTATGTATAATCATTATGTGTCAACTAAAATAGTTCAAAAATATATTAAAAGAGGGAAAGGCGGGACGCTTCCTGAGAGCAAGGACCTCCTTTGTCGAGGTCAGGGCTGTGTCTTCAGCAACAAAACACTATCTGGGACTCAGTAGATGCTTAAGAAATAGGGATTGATTGACAGAGCTCCCAAGAGTTCCACGAGGGTTCCCTAGGGCTCTCAGGTTCTTGTATGTCGGAGGGAGAGGTCTTCCCCTTAGTCTCCTCGGCGGGAAGGAGAGGGTGTGGGGCAACAACCGCCCCTTCCTCTATCTCCCTCGCCCCCTCCTTCCCCATGGCCCCCTCCCCCGTCCTTCTACCTTTCTCCTTCCCAGCCCTTCCCGGTTCTCCCTCGACCCTTCACGGCTCCTCTTCCCGCCGCCCCTCTTGCCTTCGCCACCTACCCCTGCACTTCCTCCCACTCTCGCCCCGCCCCTTCTTCCTCCCTTCCCCCGCCCTCCCCGCGCCCCTTGCGAGTGGCGCTGGCCCCAGAGCGCAGGGGCCAGACGCCCGGCGCGGGAGGAGGATGGCGCTAGCGGTGCTGCGCTTGGCGCTGCTGCTCCTGGCAGTTACCTTCGCAGGTAGCGCTCGGAGTGGTCCTGGAGAGCGGGGACCTCTGGAGAAAAGCGGGAGAGGGAGTGACGCAGGCGGCGGCCCCTGCCCGGCTCTGGGCGACCTCGGCGACGGTACCCGGGCGGCCGTTACGGGCGGTTCCCCAGAGGACCTGCCAGGTGGAGGAGCGCGAATTGGGGGGTGTGGTTAGTTCTTGCTTGGATTTCACTCCCAGCTCCAAGGACGCCTGCTATCTAGAGCGCTTTCTCTGTTAAAGTAGATTTTCAGGTGCCCAAGATGAGGAGTTGGATTTTTATGTATGGTCCCACAGGATGAGATGCGCAGGAATGAGGAATTGTGGATGCTTACGAGAAAGGGGCTTTAGTCCACACCTCTCTTAAAATGGAGTTAAAATGCTCACATCTTGCATTAAATTTTATATTTGTTACCCCGAGCTGCAAAGGAAAAGAATATCATGAACTATTAATTAAGGGTTACTTCCTTGGCCAGCTGCGGTGGCTTGGGCCGATAGTCCCAGTTACTCCGGAGGCTGAGGCGGGAGGCTCGCTTGAGACCAGGAATTGAAGCTGCAGTGCGCTAACGCGACTTTTATTCCGTAGCTTCAAAGTCCTTTCTCAACCAAACCTAATGGAAACAGAACCAAATGTTATTTCTGTGTGCTTGTGGGGAGAGGTGCCATAAAAAACTGAATATCCTTTCTGGAGGAAATGGGCTGGGGACAGTTTAAAGAAGGTAGGATTTAGAGGGGGAAAATAGAAGATGTGACCTGGATAAATCCCAAACTGGATTTTAAAACATTCTTATGAAGCTGAATGTGGTGGCTTACGCTTTGAATTCCAGCACTTTGGGAGGCCTAGGCAGGAAGATCGCTTGAGCCCAGGAGGTCAAGACCAGCCTGGGCAACATAGCAAGATCTCATTAAAAAAAAAAAGTCCTCATGAACAATACCTTACCTTGATGCCATACTGTAAAATGTCTATGCTTTCTTCTTACAGGCCCTCTGTTCCGTCGATTTTCAAAATATAAAACGGTAAGTAGGAAACCACTTGTACTATTTCTACCAATACAGTGAAGCCCAAAACCATCTGGGAGGGAGGCTGGCTCTCAGGTCTGACCTGCCACTTTTGAAACCATTGAGGACTGCGTTTGAAACCAGGTTGTCACACAGCCCTTTTGATTCAGATAAAAGTGTAAATTTTAGTTGAAAACAGCCCAGTCTTTGTTTCTGTTAATATTTCCTTTAAAGTTTCAAAAGGTCCTTAGAAAAATAGTTATGCCTTGTACTAGATATTTTATGTACTTTATCAAATTAAATTGTGAGGACGTAAAAGGAGACCAACCAAATGAGAACAAGCAAAGGCTGTGTTTTTCAGGGCTTGTTATAGCAAGAGAGTCAGCCACTGTCACCTGCATTTGAATAGGGACTCGAGTCAAAGAGAGGAGTGCGAAAACTATAGTGGAAAAAAGAAATGGCTTCAGGTATGGCCTGATTGGAGGCTGTTGGCACAGGGAAGCTGCAGGTGAGCTAGCTAGAAGCAGGACATTCTATGATATGGGTTAGGGGTGCGTATTTGGTTTTCTCTGGTTGTCCTAAGTTGGAATCAAGGACAGAAATTATGGAAGCTGTCAGTTAGTAATCAAGTCTTAACCATTTTGCGGCTGGGCATGGTGGCTGACACCTGTAATCGCAGCACTTTGGGAGGCCGAGGTGGGCAGATCACGAGGTCAGGACATCAAGACCATCCTGGCTAACATGGTGAAACCCCGTCTGTACTAAAAATGCAAAAAATTAACCAGGCATCATGGCACGTGCCTGTAATCCCAGCTACTGGGGAGGCTGAGGCAGGAGAATCGCTTGAACCCAGGAGGCAAAAGTTGCAGTGAGCTGAGATCACACCACTGCACTCTAGCCTGGATGACAGAGTGAGACTCCATCTCAAAAAAAAAAAAAAAAAAAAGTCCTGGCCATTTTGGGCTGATTGTTAAAGGGGTTATTATTTGGCTTCCTGGGCTGTCACTAGAGATAGCAGTCTGATTTCCTTCAAGTCTGACTTATAGCCGGCTGACCCCCTGGCTTGGTTATTCTAAATAATGATTTGAGTTCCTGGGCAGGATGCTGCAGGTTGTGGGTCAGAGCTCTGCTTTATATAAGGTCTAGTCATTGTCTGTTTATTTGGTCTCTCAATTCTCACAATGATGTTGTAAGATAGACATTATCTGACATATGAGGATATTGACTTCAGTAGGTTAACTCTGAGCATTCAGCTCGGAGTAGACTTCTTCCAGGAAACCTTCCCACGCGATTCCCTTCCTCCAAAGTAGAGATGTAGATATATATGCACACACACTTTGTCTCTGCTTACCTATACTGCATCATCATCACCATCATAACAATAAATACTTAGATACCTACGTGCCATACCAGTGTTCTAAATGCTTCATATATAATAACTAATTTCATCTTTCACAGTACTGTGAGGTAGGGATCATTATTTCATTATTATCCCGTTGGTCAAGGTCACATGGAAGTGGTGGAGCTATGCTTCTCATCCAGGCAGTCTGACTCCAGATCCAGTGCTTTTCTCTACCCCGTCACAGCATTAGATTGTAATTGCCTGTTTGCCTATGTCCTCTAGGAAACTATGCCTGTTGTCAGGTATAGTGTCTTATTTACTATTTGGTGCTCAGTCTTCAGCATCTCATGGATGCCCAATAACACTTTTAGTCAGTGATTCGGTTTGCTTGGGTTTGGTTTTCTTTTAGAAAATGGGAGTTATGGTACCTTCGTTTCAAGGCTGGGATTAGGGTAAAGTGAGTGAATTCCTACATGTAGAATTTAAGAAGGCATTCACACTCAGGAGGCAATGCAAGTGCTGCAGGACCTGCTGTCTTTATTTATTTATTTTTTTTGAGACAGAATCTTGATTTGTCATCCAGGCTGCAGTGCAGTGGTGAGATCTCTGCTCACTGCAACCTCTGCCTCCTGGGTTCAAGTGATTCTCCTGCATCAGTCTACCAAGTAGCTGAGACTACAGGCATATGCCACCCCGTCTGGCTAATTTTTTTGTATTTTTAGTAGAGACGGGGTTTCACCATGTTGGCCAGATTGGTCTCGAACTCCTGACCTCACAGGATCCACCCACCTTGGCCTTCCAAAGTGTTGGGATTACAGGCATGAGCCACCGCTCCCGGCCTGGACCTGCTGTCTTTTGACAGGGTTGTTAAAAGGATGACTCACACAAGAGATCTTTGGTTTGGCTGGTTTTTGTGCAGTGGTGTTTACAACTAATTGATCACAACCACAGATTTCTCTGTTCCTTTTTCATTCCACTGCTTCACTTGACCAGTCTTAAGAAAAAAGAGAGAGAGAGAGAGAGATTGATCTTTGGTTTTTCTTCCTTGTTTCCATTGCCACTGCTCTAATTTAGGGCCCCCATTATCTCTCATCTAGATTAGCATAGTGGCTTTTCAATGGGTTTTCCCCAGCCTTTTGGTATCTTCACTTTCCAGTTCCTGCTACACACTGCTGCTCCAATTAGTCTCTAAAATCTTGACTGAATGTAGCATCTCTCTGTGCAAAATCTTCAAGGACTTCTCATTGCCCACAGAGAAAGTCTAACCTCATCAACGCAGCCTACTTTTCTACCTGTACCTTCTGGTGTTTTCTCATAGTATATCCTCCTCTACTGTTAGTGCTATACTTTTTTTTTTTTTTTTTGAGATGGAGTTTCATTCTTGTTGCCAGGGTGGAGTGCAGTAGCACAATTTTGGCTCACTGTAACCTCCACCTCCTGAGTTCAAGCAATTCTCGTGTCTTAGCCTCCCAAGCAGCCGGGATTACAGGCGTGCAACACCATGCCTGGCTAATTTCTGTATCTTTAGTAGAGATTGGGTTTCACCATGTTGACTAGGCTGGTCTCAAACTCCTGACCTCAGGTCATCCTCCTCCCAAAGTGCTGGGATTACAGGCGTGAGCCACCGTGCCCAGCCTGATTACTGTAGTTTTATAGTAAGTTTCAAAATGAGAAAGTGTGAATCCTCCAACCTTTTTTTCTTATTCAAGAATGTTTTGGCTACTTGGAGTCCCTTATATTTCTATCTGAATTTTAAGATCAATTAGTCAGTTTCTGCTGCAAAAAAAGACAGCTAAGGCCGGGCGCGGTGGCTCAAGCCTGTAATCCCAGCACTTTGGGAGGCCGAGATGGGTGGATCATGAGGTCAGGAGATCGAGACCATCCTG